CCTGATCCCATATTATCTCCCTAATAAACTATTATAAATGTGAACGTGGTCTGTGAGTTATTTGTGGCTGATGCAAAGCATTCTGGAACCCAGCAGAGAAATAAGTGCTGTGGAGAAGACGGTTGGTGTCAGGATTGGTAAGAAGGTTAGAGGTTAAAGTGTGTCAGGCTCCTAGGACTTTAGTACGAGGCTGATAGTGGTGCTGATTCGTGATCTCAGAGGTTAGAAGAGAGCCAATATGAGAGCTACCACGTTTCAACTAGACGTGAAGCTTTGGAAGCTGAGGGGAAGCTTATTTTCTCAGGTGTGAGAGCCAGGAGGAAAAGCCACTCTAAAGGTCTGATATGAAGAGCACTGCTACAGATAGTAGGGCTCGATTCTGGAAAGACCTCTGAGAAACATGCAGGATGACCCAGAGTAACTCCACTGGCAAGCAGAGGGTGAGGCGAGGCTTACCTCCAATGAGTTAGCTGTCCTGCACGAAAAAGCTGCCTTTGTGGCCAAGTGGGCTTCCAGATGTCAAAAGACAGAAAAAAGAAACGTGCAGGGCAGGTTCCTGAGCTGAACCAGCACAACGTGAATCGGAACTTAAATGAATTCTCTGCTACCACCTGTGAGCCACATCCGAAGTGGACAAGGAGCTCTGACAGCACCAGAGACGACTCTGCACCAGAGGGATGAGGGTGGAAGGCTTACAGAACGTGTCTATCATCGAGCACAGTCTCCAGCATGGGAGGGGACAGTCTTGAAGATGAAGCCCAGCTGTCCCCTTGAGGAAAAGGAGTGTGTGACCTGCTATGTTGCTGTCTTTTGTCTCCTGAGAGGATGTTTCCGTCTCTGGTTATGGGACTGATCAGGACAAATGAGGCATGTCTGAGAGTAGCCCACTGTCTTAGCTATAGCCTACTCTACACACCATCAGGCCCCCTCCTGGGAGATGCCCCAGACAAGCTGTTGCTCGTTAGCTAGCTCTACACGTGTCTCCCCTTCAAAGACAGTCCGGAGCACACACATCTGATATTACTAATGAAGGATTCAGGACTCAGTGCACTTGTGAACAATGATTTAGAAATGTACACACAAAGTAAAAATGAAACAGCAACCTTGACTAGATTATTGAACCGCCCTCCCTTATCAGGGAACCCTCTTTGCTTCAAGAGCTGAGTCTCTTGCTTGGAGGGTGTGTGAGTCCTTGAAATGATTAGCACGTTCCAACCAAAAGGCTGAAGGTTAGAGTCTATACAGACACACCTTGGGTGAAAAGTTGACAATCTTCTTCCCAGGGAAAAAAACCAAAACAGCTATTGAAGACCCTATAGACACAGTTCTGCTCAGACACACATGGGCTCGCCATGACTGGAAATTGAATGGACACTGCTTTGTATCCCATACAATTTCAAGCAGATTTTCTATTTCCTGTATTTCTATTCTTGACATCCCAGTCTGACCTTCAGAGACTCTTAGTATGGCTAGGGAAGAATCCCGTTTCCTGGGAGCTCATGTACTTTAGAGCCAGTGATATAAATGTGCATTACTATTCTGAAGCTCTGTCTGACATACTTTGGGCATGTGGCAAGGAGAGACCAGTCCATGGAGAGGGACATCATGCTTGGGAGGGTGGAGAGACAGTGCAGGAGGGGAAGACCCTCGATGAGGTAGACTGAGTCAGTGACTGGGGTAATCGGGGTGGGTGTGTCAGAGACAGTGAGATTGTCACTGGACAGAGCAGGGTTTAGGGCTGTTGTACATAGGGTCGCTATGAGTCGCAAACGACTCGATGGCACATAACAACTAAAATATTTTAAGAACTGGATTCATAGCACCTTCATTTTCATAGCACCTCTCTACTTCAAACATATAACAAGGATTTTTCCCCCCGTCTATTCTATATTATTAATAACAATTTAAGGACTTTATCTCAATGCTCCCAGTGAAAAGCCCCCAAATTCCCTCATTCTCATTGTCATTCAGTTGGCTCCAATTCACAGTAGTTAACCCCCACTTCCCAATGGGTTTCTGAGACAGTAAATCACAGGGAAGAAAAATCTTTATCCCACTGAACAACTTCCCGTGGCCAGAGACATGCTCCCCCCCCCATTGAGTTAGCAGTGCAATTCCGTATGAACTACTCCACCAGAGTTACCTGCTGCTATCACAAAATTACAAGTGCATGTTGTTAACAAACATACTGCACAGTTTAGAAGGCTAGAAGTTCAAATTCATGTCATCAGCTCTACGATCTGTTGGTTCAGGGGAAAGGTCCTCTCCTGGCTCCTGGAGCATGACTCTGCCTCTATCTTCCTCTATTTGTTTCCTTTGTTGCATGCATACTGTTTTGTATCTCAAAAGGGATGTATTTAAACACGTCCTACACAAATACCACCACCACAACAAAAAAATCCATTCCCAAGAAGGATTATAATGACGGGTATACTGGGATATAACCCTTTGCCTGTGGAGTCGGTTCTGACTCAAGTAGTTGTTGATTGCTGTCCAGTGGGAACCGACTCTTATCTGACCCTCCAGCAGATTTGCAGAGACAGTAAATCACATGAAAGGAGATCACTCATCTTTCCCCTGAGGAGCAGCTGCCTTGCTAACCAAACTGCTCACCTCTTTGTAGTAGCCAAGAACATAAAACCACTGTGCCGCTAAGGATCCACTCCTAGCTAAAACTAAACCAAACCCCCATTGTCAGTTCTGACTCATGGTAACCTTTTATTGGGTTACATTCTTACCTCTCGGCCAATAGGCAGCATTAGGATAGATGGGGAAAGGATTGAAGTTCTTAATGGTTTCATCTTACTTGGATTCCCAACCAACATGCCCTCATATCAGCAGTGAGGAAATCAAAAGGGGAGTTACATTGGGAAAATCTGCTATCAAGGAGCTCTCCAGAGCATCAGTGTCATTCTCAAGACTAAAGTGCATCTGATTCAAGCTACGGTGTTCTCAATTGCTTGCTATACACATGAAAGCGAGACAAAACTAAGGATGACTTTGAGTAGTGATGCTAGAGAAGAATATTGAACAGACGTGGACTACCAGGAGTACAAATAGGTCTGTCCTAGAGAGGGTGAAACCATTTTGTTCCTTGAAGACAAGGATTTTGAAGCTGTCTCACATACTTTGGCCATGTTGCCAGGAGGGACCAGTTCTTGGAGAAGGACATCAAGCTTGGAAGGGTAGAGGGTTAGTGTAGAAGAGGAAGCCCCTGGATGAGATGGATGACACAATAACCCCCAGGAGATGACATATGAGAACCCTAGTTCTTTTCCTTTCAGGGAAGATATTTTAGTCACCAACCATGGTAGCTGACTTAACAACACACACTGTATATGTTGCCTCCCTTGTTTTACCTCCCCATCCCATTTCCTGGGATCACTTCCCAAATAAACTACTTTCCCTCAAATCCTCGCCTCAGGGTTTGCTTCTAAAGACAGCCAAACTGCAATACCAGTTACACGGCTCAAATAACGGAAGTTCCTTCAGCACCAGGGCCGACGAAATGTTTTTACCAAAACTCTACTTTTAAAAGATAGGGCAAAGTACAGATATGCTGTTCTTAATGTCACTGAGCCACAGTTGACTCAAGGGCAAATGATAACAACTTGCAAAGATGTGGTTGTTAGCTGCTGAGTCATTCCAACTGATGGTGGCCCTATGCAAAACAAAATGCAACACTGTAACCATCTGCAGAAAGTGGTAAATTGGACTATTTCTAAGGGCTGTCCCTGACTGATCTTCAGAAGTAGATTGTCAGGAATTTTCGCCCCCCCCCCCATCTTGGTCTAGAAGCTCTGCAGAAGCTTGTTCAGCTTCATAGCAACATGCAGACCAACACTGACAGGTGGTGGAAACACACAGTAGCATTGGTCAGAAATAGAACAGTCTAGGACATCTGCATTCCCAAACTCTTTTGTCACCAAGTCAATTCTAACCCATACTGACGCCATAGGCCAGAATCCACAAAGGATTTCCAAGGCTGAAAATCTTTAGGAAAGCGCTAAAGATTAAAGAAGAAAACAATGACAGACTTGATAAAAAGGAATCAAAATAATAAAAACACCAGACTCAGCACTGGAGAAAACATTCACAGTCATACAGTGTCTAACAAAGGAACTATATCCAAAACACCTAAGAAGTCTTACACCCAATAATAACACGAAGAACTCATCTAAAAACAAGCATAGAACTCAACGAGCCGCTTCACAAGAGCAATCCTATGAGCAGATCCCAGAGAAGCTGAAACCAAAGCGTCAAGTTAATGAATGGACAATAACGAGGATATTGTCTTTAAAGAGAAGCTTTTCCTAGCAGCTCTTCGTGGGAGGGAGGGAATAGGGGAGGATACAACATTTATTTTGGTTTACTAAAGTAGAGCATCCCCATTCGCTGAAGCCACTCACTGTCATCCAGAACACGAAGCCTCGCGATATCCAGTGAGGCGCAGGCGTGACAAAGGCTCCCTGATTGGGCACTTGTCAAAATTGGGGGCGGGACAAAACCGACGCTGCCAGCAGGTCCGGAAGCGCCCGGTAGGCGGCTCCCCGCCGTGGCACGGACACGCCCTCTCGTGCTCGTTCGCCCTCCGCCCCCCTCGGTTCCCCAGCCCCTTCGAGGTCGTGTTCTCGCGGTAGTTGTCTCTACTTCTCGCGGGACTTGGCGTGGCACCCGGAGGCCGGGCCCGGGGAGTGGGTGGCGGTCCGTTATCGGCGTTGAGTCGTGGCTGCTGTGGCCGCGCTTGTTTTGTCCTCTTTCGGGGAGCCCCGCAGACTGGAGGCCAGCCAGGTGAAGAGCTCGCCCCATGTGTGTGTCCTGCAAGGGGCGCCGGACAGAGGCGGGAGGTGGGAAGGGGGTCCCGCGTCCCAGCCCCCTTTCCGTGTCGCGACAGGCTGGCTCGAGGCGGCCCGGCGCGAGCTCCGCCCTGGCCCCGGGCCTTGACCGCTCTCCCTTCCTCCCCCTTGTCTCTCCCAGTTCTTGCCGCCGCCTCGGTCGCGATGGGGGCGCAGGACCGGCCGCAGTGTCACTTCGACATCGAGATCAACCGGGAGCCGGGTGAGCTGGAGGCTGGGGACCCCTATCGGGGCCTGACCTTGGCTGAGTGGAGGGGGACCCCAGACCCTTTAGGGATCGGGTGGGCGCCGTCCATTTGCCCTTTTTCTCAGCGCAATCGGTGCAGAGGAGAGTGTCCTGAGGTCGCCACCCCCACCCTGCTGGGAGCCCCGTCCTCATTCACTCCCCACGCCCCCGTGCACACCCAGACCGAGCCCTCATTCCAGCGCCCAGAAAGGGGTGCAATCCTTTTGAAACTTAATTTTTTCCCACCCTTCCATGGCTTCTGAGAGGCAGACACTTTCGATTTTAGTTTTGTTATCTAGCTCTCTGTACTTTGAGGTTTGAACTCATAAAATCTGTGCTCCCCAATCCTTAGATAGCAGTACTACGATAACGGGGAGGGGGGTCCCTATTTCCTTTGGAGAATCTTTAACCAGCGTATCTTGGTCCTCGGGAAGATGGCAGAGTTAACTAACATCCAGTGTGATCACTCAAAGCCCTCCATAGGAACACAGGTGCAGAGTGCATGCACTGAAGGTTAATGAGTGCCTTTTCGTGAATCTAGCCATTCTTTTCTTTAAAACCAAATTAGTCACTTCATCGTCAGACTGGGCTTCATTAGTGTTTTCATTGAAAAAAAAATATATATATATACACACACACACACACAGGTTTGGGGCAGCATTTTGATGAGATTCTTGAAAATACCAGCTCTACCCTTCAAAGCTTGGAGTACACAGCACTGAAGCAGGCAAAGGCCTCTTGGTAGTTTGTATTGTATTGGGGGAACAATCTAATGATTGGTACTGGGGGTACTATTTTTTAAGAGATTGGTTAGGAAAGAATGAAATGCACTGAGAAGATGACATTTAATTAGACATCTGAATGAAATGGGGCCATGTGGATGACTTTGAGCAGAGTGGTAGTTGTTAACTGCTGAGCTGGCCCCCTAATTAATGACAGCCGGTGCACACCTGGAGAAAACCCTATTGGATCTTACACCATCCCCTTGGTTGATTGCCAGTAAGGTTGTTATGATGCACCATCAGGTTTTGTTGGCTGATATTTGGAAGAAGCTTGCCAGGCCTTTCTTCCTTGTTTGTTTCTGTCTGGAATTTCCACTGAAACCTGGTTAACATCATAGCAAGGGTTCCAGTGACAGATGAGTGCTACCTGCCCATGAGGTGTATCTGGCTAGGAATCAAACTCACATCTCTTGAAAGGTGGGAATTCTACCGAGCCAGAACTGTCGTATTCCTCTTGGTTCTAACTCATGCTGACCTGTGTGAGCCAGGGTAGAACTCAACCTGGAGGGCTTCCAGTAGATACAATCGTTCAAACTTAGGTCATCAGACCTTTCTTCCAAGGTAGATTCGAACTATCAACCTGTTGGTTAGAGGCCAAGTGCTTAATCGTCAGCACCATTCATTGTTGCTTTGTGCTCTTGAGTTGGTTCTGACTCACAGCCGGTCTCACGAAGGAAGTTCTGCCTGCTGCTGCACCTCGTTCACAATTGTAGCTCTCTTTGAGCCCATTATTGGCAATCACTTTATCAGCTCATCTAATTGAGAGTCGTCTTTTCCGCTGACACTCTGCTTTACTAAGCATGTTAGTACAAAGGCAGTGAGGAGGGAGTGTGCTTGTCATGTTTGAGGAACAGCATGGAGGCCAAGGTGGCAGCAAGAGGCAGGGGAAGTAGCCATAGTAAGGCCTTTAGGAAGACAGAAAAGCATTAGTTTTGAGCAAAGGAATGATGTGAATGTAGAACTTTTTGTTGTTTTGTAGGTGTGTGTTCCCCTTCATGTTTTGAGTCTTGATGGACTTGAACCCTTATTCTATAAAAATCTTTTTTTAAAAAAAAAATTACTATTTGTGTGTGTGCCATCAAATGGGATCTTACAGGTACAGGAGGAGATTGTCACTCCTTCTCCAGCACAGCATCTGGTCGATTCGAACCGCACGCCTCTGGCATTGCAGACTAAAATACTTTTAAGAATTAAAATAACAGACCCTGAAAAATAAGGAGCTCTGGTGGCTCCTTGACAGGCTGTGCAGCTTAACCACTGGTCAGGCCTCAGGTGGTTCGAATTTACCAGCATGGCCACTGGGGAAAGATGAGCAACATCCTCCTGTGTGATTCACAGCAGCAGAAGCCTACAAGAGGGTCAGCTCTCAGTCTCTTCTGCCTTGACAGCTGTAAGCACAAGGAGAGAACCCCAAAGAAGAGGAAGTAAACCGCACAGAGATTTTTGTACCCACCCTGACTGCTCTCTTCCTAGTTCATGTTCACGTACTGGATTTGAAAACAACTTTTCTTTTGAAAAAAATCTCGAGAATATCTTTGATAAATGTTGAATAAACATCATTTCTCAAAATCTAATACAATTTAATTATAGCACCATTCTAGTAGAACACTGAATCATGTAGTCAGATATGAAATAAATGCTTCCATTGTTTTAGGTTGTATTATTTGCAAATTGGCTATTCTATACGGCTTAATCTCATAATGCAGGAAATTAATATGGCCCTTCTAAGCATAGTCCTATGATGTCTAACGAATGTCTGTGTGGGACTGTGCGCATGAGATGTGTGTGGGCCACGAAGCAGATTAATTAGCTTGGTAATAAGGTAAAGGAGGTTCACGGCACCTTTGTTGCGGTTGTTTGTCAAATCAGAACATAGCTGACCTTCCATCACGTTTTCAGAGGCAGTAAATCGCGTGGGGGTAGACTGCCCATTTCCTCTTGGAGTAGCTGATGGATTGAACTGGGTACCTTCAGGTTGGCAGTGCAAGTCCTTACCACTAAGCCCCCAAAGCTGTAGTTGGGATTAGACCCATGCAGATCACGAGTAGGACACTGGTAGAGAGGACCCGTCAGTCCTGCTGTCCTGCCAGGCTTCAACTGACCCATGCTAGAGGCAGAAAGAGATCTCAGGACCACCAGAAGAGGGGAGTAGAGTGCATCTTTTTGACCCTGGTTCTCTGAGAACCTTCTAGATCTAAGAGACAGAGATAGGAAGAGAGGTGGAATACTGGTGATGAGAGGCAGTGAGCAGCAGGGAGAGAGAAATGGCAGTAGCAGAGACATTGGGCTTCCTGGCAGGAGGCTTGCTGGTCAAAATGAGGTGTCGTCCAGATCTTGGTGGAGCTAACTTTGGTAAGCCGCTAAATGAGCAGGAGAGCAGAACACCTTCAGGCCAAGCCTTCTTGCAGAGTGAAGTGCCTCTGGGCACTTTCAGCTAGAGATGAAAGAGCAGGGCAGAGGCTAAGGAGCCTTGCTGGGGGGAGAGGATGGGGAGGGGTATGGAGTGCTGCAGCCACTGGCAGAAGGTGAGCTGAGAAGAGAGGTGTGTCTGTAGGCAAAGATAAGAAGCAGCTATCCTGACCAAAGTACTAAACCCTGAGTGGTTTCTATTCTTAAATAGTAACCTCTTAACTATTATTGCTTATTGGAAATCAGCATCCCCCCGTATCAGTGCTTTCCTTTTTATTGTGGATTGAGGCTCAGACTCCATTCCAGACAGTGGCAGACAGTCCAGATGCATTTTTCCTGCAAAGCTTTCACCTGCTATCTGAAAGTAGAGCACGTCCAATAAACCTTTGTATGCCAAGATAGTGGAAAGTGGAGAAGCAGTAACCATAGGTTTAGATAGAGAACATTTGAATGTTACCAGACTATAAAAATAACACCAACATAAATATATGTTGTTAGGTGCCATCGAGTTGAGTACGGCTCATCATGACCCTATGAACACCAGATCTGAACCATGTCCTATTCTGTGCCATCATTTACCATCTGTGGCATACTTGAGCCCATTGCTGTAGTCTCTGTGTCAGTCTGTCTTGTTGAGGGTCTTCCTCTCTTTCACTGACCCTCCACCTTTCCAAGCATAATGTCCCTCTCCAGGGAATAGCCCTTCCTGCAACATGTCAGGAGTGTAACATGTAGAAAATAAACTGTAGAAATAACATACGTCCAGTGTAGTTTGACTTCTCGGAATCTGGAAGAGAGCTAACTGGAAGGCTGAGAAGTGGTGGTGATAACGATGCTGACGGGTGCAAGCCCAGGAGCCAAGCTGGCAGTGACGCGTGAGGCTGAGTGGAAGGGCTGGAGTTTGAATCCTGTCGAAGACTAAGGCTTGCGTTAGCCATGCATGTCAAGGGAGGCGTCTCAGAGTTGCAGAAATGTACAGTGGATGCTGGATCTAGAATGAGATCAGACAGTGTGGAGTGTGTTTTTACAACACCTGGAGTTTAGTGACCACAAAGGGTCTCCAGAGTCAGGAGCTGCTTGATGTCTGCTAATGATAACATCTTGTAATGTTATTTCAGGTGTTTTTGTTATTGAAACATTTATTTACTGAGTACTTTTTTTTTTATTATTAAATTTTATTAGTTTCAATGAACATTCACAGGGATTCTGGGCTTTCACTCCTTCATTGCCGCACCATTCTCTCCACCCTCCTCCCCAGTTTGTTGTTCTTCCCCGCCATCCGAATGTCTGTTTTAATTGTCCAATTGCCACAGTGCTTGTCAAAGTCAGTTCTGATTAATTTCCTTTGTTGGTGTGTCCTTTGCCATTCCCTATCACTCCTCCCTGAGAGAGACTTCACCCTGAGTCATAAGGAAAAGGGGATGGTGTATTCCCTTAACTACTTCCTGCTGAAAAGGGACGCTGTGGGTTTCAGGGTGAAGATCTTCTCTCACTACTCTAAAGGGCCCCTTTGGCAGTAGGAAACACATAGACTATTATGGAGATTGATTTTGGAATTTAGATGCACTCTTATTGATTGTGCTTGGCTGTACATGTTCATATCCTTGAAGATGTATCATGGGGGTGTTGCAACCTAGAAGACACAAATTTGACTAACAAGTTTTAAGTACATGAGTCAAAAATAATGGAAAAGTAAAAGAAAGGATTCTTTCATTGTTTTACAAACCCTCCCCCACTCCACCACGTAGCCCTCGCTCTAGACTCCTGTGATGACAGAAGTACCTAGTCATATATCTCTTTTAAACGGTTCTCTCCCTCCTCTGTTTCAGTGCAGTATACATTATTGAACCTATCTTACTCAGTCTCTCCCCATCCCCAAGGACAGTCCCATTCTACAACAGTGGCATCATGTAATATTTGTCCTTTTGTGACCAGGATATTTCACTCAGCATAATGTTCTCCAGAGTCAACCATTTTGAATAATATTGCATGAGTTCCTTATTATTTACTGAGTACTTTATACCAGTCTTAGTGTAAGTTAGTAGAAGTGGAGGTACATGATGAGGGAGACGTGGGCCCTGTGTCCTTGGCCTCAGGCCTGGATTGAGCATAATTGCACTGTGTTCCTATCAGTGATACCTTGTCACATTACATAGCGAATCCAGCATTCCCAGCTAAAATAGCAATTCCCAGAAACTCAGATACTTGCTTACTGTTGGAATCCCTAACCTTGGAGGGTTTCAGTAGATAGTATTTACGTCCTGATTGGATGGAAATGCTGCTCCATCCCTAAGTTTCCTCTTGAATTTGGCTCTCTGCTTCCCGGTGTGAACTATTCCTGCTTTTGACCTTAATTCTCATTTTTTGCTTTTCCTTGGCCAGTGTGCAATTTCTTTCCTGTTGCTGTGTGTCAAAGGGATACATACCCAGAGGCAGTTTAAAGCCACCATCTGCTTTGCAGGAGAAAGATGAGCAGTCTCCTTCTGAGTGATTTATGGCCTTTGAAAACCTGCTGTAGGTTCAATTGTGAGTCATTTCCCATAGCACACAACTGGGGCAACTGTGTGCCAACTCTTAGAAGGTTTTTTCCCTAACGAGCCCTCATTTTTCCCCAATATATATTTGATGTCCATGGTTTCAGCTTTGCAGTCTGCAATTCTAGCCTAGCTGTTTCTGAGACTAGAAAACAAAGAATGCTATTCTGAAAAGTGACTTTGGGTTTAATCCAGGTTCTGGATAGCTCCTGATTTCATTCCTGCCGCCACCTGGCCTAATTAGGATCTACAGTAAACCATGAGTGTCTTAGCTCTTCTCTTCTGTAGGAATTTGAAAACGTTTTCATGTTGGCATATTAATCTTGATATGTTTAGCTTTATTAGTTATTTTGAAGCTTAGCATGTTGGTGTATCTACATTAAGGTCAGAAATTAGTCTTTGTTTCACTTTTGTCCTTCAGAAATTCAAGCACACTGCAGTTGAGTTGGTTCTGATCCGGGGTGAACCTTCATTCGGTTTCTGAGATGATGACTCTTAAGAGGAGACAGCTCATCTTTCTCCTTCATAGTTGCTGTTGTGTACTTGTGTGTCGGAACGGACACATAGCTGACCCTCAGGCAGATTTTCCAGAGGCATTTAATCACACAGGAGAACATTGCCCGTCCTTCTGCAAAGCAGCTGGGTACTTCGAACTGTTGCCTTCAGGATTGCAGTGCAGCTTCTTGCCATTAGGCCACCAGAGCGCCCATAGAGATTGGTTTATTTGAGCCTGGGCTTTTTAGTTCGCAGCCCCTTTTGTCCTTAGTTACCCATATTCTACCCTCAAAACACCATTCTAACTAAGGCTTGTACTAACCAGTTTCAGATTTTAGTTTTATCATTATAAAGAATATTTTGGAAGAAATTTTTTACATAAACAATTTTTGGAGTAATGACTGATTCTGAAGGACTACTATAGCCCACTAAATTGCGTGGTATTTGTTGAATAATATTTTCCCTAAAATCATACTCATTTAAAAATGTCATTTAATAGGACTAATAGCATATGTATTTGGAACATGTATACACACACTACGCCTGCTTAGTCTGTGAATATCCCATGAACCGCCAAAAGCACAAACAAGCCTTTATTGGAGGAAGTGGAACCAGGATGCTCTTTAGAGGCAAGGAAAGTGAAACTTTGTCTCACACCCTTTGGACATGTTCTTGGAAAAGGACATCATGCTGTTAAAGGCGAAGGGTCAGAGAAAGAACAGAAGGCCCTCAATAAGATGGATTGACACGGTGACTATAACAGTGGGCTTGAGCTTATCAGAGAACATGAAGATGGTGTGGGAGAGAGCCGAGTTCAGCTCTGTTGTTCATAGGGTCGCTGTGAGTTGTACTTGTTCCTCTGACACCTAACACGAACAACATGCCTACTTAGGGAGCTCTGGTCACCTGTGGCATGAGGACTTTTGCTAACAACCAAAAGGTGAGTGGTTAGAATCCATCAGCTGCTGTTGAGGAAGAGAAATTCAGGCAGTCTTTTTAGCCTCAGGAAACTGCTAGAGAATCAGCTGTGAGTTGGTTCTGACTCAGTGGCAGTAAGGAGGAGGAATGCCTGGTGATAGTCTTCTCCTACTTTCCGTCCCATCTTTTTCTTCCTTCCCTTAGATATCAAGGTGAGGTAGGTTTGAAATTGTTTGAAAAGGTTTCATTTCACGACAGCTGCAGATCCCTCCCACTTGTTAGTCCTTAAGATCCAAACCAAATCCACTGCTGTCAGGTCTCTATCAACTCTAGAAATCTTCATAGGAGACTAACCATTGTTCTTCCTCCTGGCAGGGGATGGATTTGAACCTGTAATCTTTTGGTTAAGAGCTCAGTACCTTAAGTACTACATCCCCATTCTCCTTTTTCATCCCTTAAGGATTTCTATTATTCCTTAAAGGAGCTGATTGACATGACCAGAATTAAGTCAGGATCTTTTGATCTTAGAGTGTCTCAAAAGGCATTTTGTGTCTGTACTAGAAATGTGTGTGTTTGGCCAACTTTTTTTTTTTTTTTATTAGTTTGATTTCTTCATTGTTGCATTTTCTTCCTCTCTCTCCTTTCTCCTCCACCAGTCCACTTCATAATGCACCTCTTATTCCAGATTGTCGTACACATAATGCACTCTTATTATTCCCCCAACCCTCCATGTCAATCCTGTTTTATAACATTGATGTTATGCAGTATTTGTCCTTTTGTGACCGAGATATTTCACTTAGCATACTGTTCTCCGGAATCACCTGTGTTGTGTAATATTTTATGAGTTCGTTGTTTTTCAGTTCTTCACCTCTGTGCTGTTGTGAATACTGCAGCAATAAATATGGATGTACATACTTGGCCTACTTTTAATTTTAATGTGCTCTATAAATTCTTTTGAGTAACTAAAGATAGAATGGTAAAAAATTAGAAAGCAGATGAAAGGGATTCAGGAGAGTGAGTGTAAATCAAAACTCCTTTCCTGTATTTTGGGATATTTTCAGGATATCTGCAAATTCAGAATGCTTTTGTAATGATACAGAGGTGCCTTTGGCATTCTCGTTCTCTCACACGTGTCCCGTAGTTTTTTGGAGCTTCCATGGTCTGTGATGCCGTTGCTCTGACAGCTAATGGGCTGTGTATGTTCCCTTTTATTTTAGCCAATTATTAACTTTTTTGTATTGAAGTGTTTCTTGTCTAATACGTTCTTATACTTGAAAAATTTTTAGTTTTGATATGAAACAGCAAATATCAGTAGATGTAACAGACACAAATAAAAACTCAGTAGTTTTTAGGAATTTGAAAGGTGTACTGAGACCAGAAAACCCATTACTCCTCTCTGTCAGAGTTAAGTTGAACTCGTAGCCTTGCTTCATCTCGTTTCTTCTTTATTTTAGGGAATGTATTTTTTTCTTCTTTCTGCATCCTCAGAAAATGGAATGTGAAAAAGATAATCTCTCATATGGATGAGGTTTTCTTTTTTTCTGCCTAGGCTTTATTTTTTTAATTGTGTTTTAATGAACGTTTATAGAAACATTGGCTTTTCATTCATTCATTGTTGCACATTTTCTTCCTTACCCCCTCCAGTTCCCTTTTTAAAAAAAAAATTCATTCATTGTTGTATCATTTTCTCCCTCTGCCTGGAATGTGACTTTAAAAAAAAAATATTAATTATTATCCTTTTATTCTAACTTCATTGGTTCTGAGTCAACAGTCTAGAGGTTACACAGAATGTATGCCTAATATTTTCCTGGCTTTCCTTTACTTAAAAACAAAGTTTATTTGCATATAAAATTTGTATACATTGTGTTTCACTTTCCTTCATTCACATTGTGCTTCATACAGTTATTCCCATACTTTTAAGTAAAGTGTGAATGATGCAGTTCATGAAATTGGCACTAAACAATTCCAAGTAAAAGTAGAAAACTTGAACTACAGAATGAAATAACTTCCTTTTAACAGTACTGGCCAAAATGTCCTAGAAGAGGGTCCATATTCCCCTCTGGAGGGGTCCAGGCATTGAGCCATTAATAGTTTGCAAATTGTTATTTTTAAAGAAGTTTAATGTTTAGACATGGAATATGTTAAAGTGGATCTAATAATAATAATTCTTTTGTGAATTCTAACACTAGTAATTGAAGTTATATGAAAATATTGTTAGTTGAATTGTCCAGTTAAATTCTCTACCATTAAATATTTTCTAGGATTATAATTAATTATAAGAGTGAAGCTTCTCATCTTTTGATTCTATTTATTCTTTTTTTTGTACGGTTCTTTTCATGTACTTGCTCACAACTTCCCCCCCCTCCCCTGTATTGTGTTTCAGTTGGTCGCATTATGTTTCAGCTTTTCTCAGACATATGTCCAAAAACGTGCAAAAACTTCCTTTGCCTATGCTCAGGTAAGTGGACTGTTACAATCAATATTTCCAATGATGAGTCATGGTTTTCAGTTTTACTTTTTTTAACAAAATGAGATACCAACTTCTGTATGAAATCAAAGCAACATATCTTGAAGGAAGAAGAAAGTAAACAATTAAAAAGACTCTACTGTACATAGTGAAACTGAACTGTGTACATAGCCACAGTTTCTGTTGCTCCTAGCCCCCGCAGTGATGATCTAAGGAAGAACAGAACAGAATGTTCCCCATCCGGTGTCATCTTCATGGTCATTAGAACGTTTGGATCCATTATTGTGACTCTCGTGTCACTCAGAGTTTACTTTGTTGTCACTGACCCTTACCACAGTGTCTTTTTCTAGCAAATGTTCTGTCCTACAGATGTACCCAAAATAAAGCTCATTGAAATCTTGCCATATTTGCTTACAGGTAGCCTTCTAGTTATTTCTTCTAAGACTGGTTAGTCTGTTCTTCTGACAGTCCATGAAAGAGTCAGTGTTTTCTGCTGACATCACTATCTGAATGCATCAATTCCCCCCCCCCCAGTGTTTCATAGTCTTTATTCATTGTCCAATGAACAAGCTGAACAACAAATAAGGAAGATTGCAGAATATTGAATGTACAGTGGACTCCCAAAAGGACAAACAAAATCTGTCTTGAAAGTACAGACAGAATATTCCTTAGAACCAGGAATGGTGAAACTTTGTATCTCAGATTCTTTGAGCACATTGTGGGGAGGAGTCAATCCCTGGAGGAAGACATTAACATGTTGAAATGACAGCTCAGTGACAGAGGAAGACCCTTAACAAGATAGATTCACACTGACATGTGGCCGAAGCAGCAGAGATTGTGAGGACTGTACAGGAGTGGGCAGTGGGTGGTTCTGTTGTGTGTAGAGTCAGCAAACTAGACGGCACATAGGGCAGTTGAAAGGCCTGTACTTGGGTCAGGGGCACCTTAGTCATAAAAGTGACTTCTTTGCTTTTTAATATGTTAAAGGCATAATCTAGGTTGAAAACAATATAGTCTTTGACCCTCATCGGTATGTCCTTCAAATCATCTTTGGCACGCAAGATGTGTCACCTACATATCATAGGTGATCAGTGGATCTTCCTTCATGCCTGTTCTTCAGATAGTCCAGCTTTTAAAATTTTTTTATCAGCATAGAGATTGAATAAGTAAGATCAGGAAACAAGGCTGCTGCATACCTTCTCCAGTTTTAAACCAGACAGGATCTTGTCCTTATTCTGTTATAATAACTGTTTCTTAACCATGTGCAGGTTCTGCATGAATATGATTGAGTGTTCTGTGTTAATAATTTTCTTATGATCTTAATTTATGTAAAAAAGCAAAAGAGAAAAATTTTCTTGGTAGAATTTTATAGATTTTGGTGCTGTAAACAAATTCACTATTTCGGATTTCATAGGAAATTTTGGGTTAATAAGTAGAAAATCAAAACCTCATGAAGCTGTTCTTTGTTATATATGTGAACAGTAATTGGATTTTTAATTTTAAATATGTTGAGGAAATGGGAGTATTAATTTTGAAAATAGAAGTAGCAGTTTAGTTTTAAAAAAATTTATGCTTAGATACACACAGGCATAACTTTACACGAGTTCCTTAATTTTGTTCTTTTCAACAAGTCTCTCAACTTTATTGATGAGCCCTGGTGCTTAAGCATTTGTCTGCTTCCCAGAAGACCTGTGGTTCAGATGCACCAGCTGCTGCTCAGTGAAGAAGGACGTAGCAGTCCGCCTCTATAGAGATTACAGCCTCGGAAACTCCATGAGGCAGTTTCACTCTGTCCTGTTGGGTTGCTATGAGTCACAGTCAACTAAGTAGCCAAGAATCCAGTTGCGTTTTGCATCTTTGTTGGCTTCTAGTGTCATAAAGTCTGTACCATACAATTTATTTTATTTTTTTATAAAAATAAATATTTACTTTTTTAGTATTTATTTTCGTTTGTATGCTTGTTAAATAGTCACTGTGGTTATGTTTTGTATCTCTTACAGTCCATAGGAGAAATTTGACAAAGGATAGTTAATTGATGCTTTGCTTGGGAGAATGTGTTTGTAGCTGAACTTCATTTCTTTTTTTCTAGGAGAGAAAGGCCTTGGAAAAACAACTGGAAAGAAATTATGTTATAAAGGTTCTACATTCCATCGTGTGGTTAAAAACTTTATGATTCAGGGTGGGGACTTCAGTGAAGGTAGAGCTGAAAGTTATGTTCCTAAAACCCCTGTCTGTCAGTTTCTAGCACACACTGTTACTTTTTAATAGTAAATACTGTATTGCTCAGCATATACCACAAGGTGATCAGTGACTACTTATTGCTTGAATGATTATCGTAGATCAAGAATGTATGAAAAAGCAAAGTACTAAAACATTTTCTTTTGTTTTGATGGGATTTATTTTAGTAATGTTTTGGGAGCTCTGGTGGCTTAGTGGTAAGGAATTACACTGCCAGTGTAAAGATACACAGTTCAAATTCACCAGCTGCTCTTTGGGAGAAAGGTGGACATTCTCCTATGAGATTTATGGCCTCTGAAAACCCACTACAGGGTCAGCTATGAGTTGGTTCCGACTTGATGGTACACAAACAACAGTAATACTGTTTGGTAAATTTCCTTATACTGAGCTCTATAAAGTACTATCTCATTTCTTTTAAAATTTTAATTTTTTTGGTATTGTTATGTTTTAGATAAGTGGGTGTGGATATAATTTTTAATTAGCATTTGACTCATTTTCATTGAGAATTATTTGTTTTGATTATTTGCAGCAATTACAAGGTATTAGTTTTTAAGCAAATTGAAACCATAATAAAAAAAATTTGTATAGATCAGGTATATTTTAAATTTATTATATAGTTAATGTAACTCATTCTTTGCAGGTAATGGAAAAGGTGGAGAATCAATTTATGGTGGATATTTTAAAGGTAAGGCTTGATATTTTATATGGTCTTTTGGTTCAGTTCTGATATTAAAGGAAGTTTGATCATATACCTTTAATGAGAAGAGGTTTACTTATAGTTCACTTTTTGCATGAAACTAATGCTGCATGAAACCACTTTATTTGCATGAATTTGGGGATAAATTATGTAATACATAGCTTTTTATTTGACAAGATTAATTAAGGCTAACTTTATGGTTAAACATGACTTTCAGCATGGAGGTTAGGCAACTATATACATGAAAACTCCTATCTTCCTGCCTAAAACTGTCAACATATTCTTTTGTTTATAGAGAATGTGGTCTTTTGCAAAATGAAAAGGTAAGAGAACGAAGCTCAGTAACACAAATTCCAATTCTGTTTCCTTGCACCCTCCTAATAAACCTATGGACAGCCGGGGTCAGGTTGTGACTGGGTTTCTGTATTGCTTGAAGACTTGGCAAGTTCTGTGTATTATTTCATACATGCATCTCTATCTTTTCTTTTCCCAATGTATTATTAGTTTCACATTAGGGAAAAGAATGTAGTTTTGGTTTTTGTTGGGTTTTTTTTCCTACAACAAGGCGATTGTTTGAATAAAAATTGGTATTTCCTCCTTTCTCAAAGGTTTGTATGCTTTCTTTTATATAGTAGAAATAAATGATTATCTTTTATTCCTACAGTTGTAGCATTTGCATATATCTAACTATTGCACTTGCCCCAAAAGCCTTAGAAAAGTCAGTTGCAGAGATTTATAATAGGATTCAATATTTCTAGATTTTAACACTTAAATGGCTTCAGTGTTATAATAGTCTTTTATATTTCTTTTGGGGGAAATGGATTACTACTCTTTTTCAGAAGCCTGTTCCCAAGGTAATTATTTTTCAAAGTTTTCTATGTTTCTGTTTGTTTTAAAGAAAGATTTGTTTGTATGAATGTTAAAAGGAAGTTTAAGTTCATTTTCAGTGCATTTCTCCTAAGTGATCTGTAACCTTTAAGATTTTCCCTTTTGTGCTTATAGGAAACAGCTATTTAGCTGACTCCATTAGCTTGTAGCCATTTGACACTAATGCTGCAAGTCACTTTATTTTTCCTTTATTTTTCCCCTATGCTTCATCCTTACCCTCCCTATCCAAAGACCCTCATGACACTGAATTTGACTCTTAACACTTACCCTGAAACTGACCTAGCCCCTCCTCCTGGCCTGCCCACTCACTCTTGTCCTGACTCAGGCTGAGAGTCAGCACTGACTCCTCTCATCCTGATGCTGACACTGACTTTGACAGCACTGTGGTATTGAACTTGTGCAGGCCACTTTATTTTTTTTTTTTTTTTTTTTCTATGTGCAGGCCACTTTAATGTGATGGTTTCTTGTGGCAGATACCTGTGTATCTTAAAACATTACTCTGCCATATAAAGTTTTGTTTCTGTAGGGCTTTCTTCCATGTCTAACTTTGTTAACTTGTTGATTGAAAAAACACTCCATTAACTTAAGCAAGGCCCCATAAAGAAGTGATTTCTGCTCCCATGGTCCAGCTTCCAAAGAGTTCATCAGTGAGTTTTTTATACAGAAAGAAAGTTGAAGCACGTTAAGAGGATTAGTAAACCCTTTGCGTACATAGTACATTAGGCAGGATAATTGGAAAATGGCAGGAAATGAGCATTACTACAGTTTTTGTTGTTTTGTTTTGTTTTTTTATAAAAAGGATATCCTAGTTTTCCCCGAAAGCTAATAGATTAAATTAACCAAATTGCCGTTTAAAAGTGACTGTTCTAAGGCTGTTTGTATAAAGTATTAAATATATGTTCTTTTTCTCAAGGCTTTAATTAGTATTACTTGGTCTTTTTATGCTTTTGTGATTTGATTAGTTTTAATTTTTTTTTCTAAGTATTCAGTCAAGTATCTGTACTGACCAGAAGAGGAATTTCATCCCTTGCTTTCTGTTTTATTACTTGTGAACACTACACTTTAAAAGTGGCTTGTTACTGGAGTCTGACAAATTTGTTTTTTCTTCAAACAGATGAAAACTTTATTCTCAAACATGACAGAGCGTTCCTTTTATCAATGGCAAATCGAGGGAAACATACCAATGGTTCCCAGTTTTTCATGTGAGTAGGCATGACTCAGAACTAAGCTTTTCTTCAACAGAGAAGCGCTATTCATGAGAAAGATGGGATTAACGAAGATAACAAAACTAAGTTTAATGCTAGAAAGTAGCCTTGGATTTTTATTATCACGTTTTAGTGTCAGTTTAGCTGATAAGCTCTCACTGGAGCTGTTTCATTGTTCACCGTATACCCTGGATTTGAAGAATGAGACTTGAAAGATAGAGCGTGAAGGTAGACATTATTTTCAAAATAAATTGTCATCTCAGACAAATAAATTGGCTTTAGGTGTTGCCAAATTTGGGGGTTCAGTTTATATATTAGGGTGAAAACTATCGATGGATGAATGTTTAAACATATAGCCTATGCTTAGATGTATTGCTGGCTTGGAAAGCAGTTGGTTTGAATTAATTATTCGATGGTCATTCTATTTTTTTCCTCTTACTGTTGCTTCTAAGAAGCCAGTTTGAGAGAGATACCATTATTTTCTAGAAAGAAAAGATTTACTATTAAGCCAGCACTTTAAAACACTCAGACTCTGAGGTGTCTATTCCTAATTCACCCAATGTTGCTATAGTCTCTACCCAAGTTTATAATGAAATTATTGCCTAATAAACTTCAGAATACTAAAATTACTTTTGAAAGACAAACTGCTTTAGCATTCATGCATGCCCACCCCTCCAAAATCTTACTATTTCTTATGTAAAAGTTCTGGATAAGCCTTTGGCATACTTTTCTATACCCTTAGCTACTCAGAATCCCGTTTTCATCATAGTCTTGTAGTATGAATGTAAAAGGTTCTTGACCTGCATGAGGTGTTATACTCTTGATTCGAAAGTAGAGCTGTGCATTTGTACTGTATATGCTGAAGAAATATTTATTCATGGTTTATTCTGAAAAAAGATTTCTTTGTCATCTTTCTGAATGGAGGAGTATGAATGGCGCTTCCCTGTCTTTAAAAGGAGTAAATTGTTCATATTTTTTTTTAAAAAATCGTAAATTTTTCCAAAAATTTAATTTCCAATCTGATCTGTTAAGTTCAGATAAGGGCCATTCTGTTCTAAAGAATGTCCTAAAAATGGAAAGCCTGATAGAAGATGTTTGAAGTTACAGAGGGGAAAAAGGAAGACCTAAGATAGTTGTTTTCCTAGATTTTCTTTTGAACCCCTGGAGTATTTGATTAATTACTCTTCACTACAGTGTTTTTCTATTTTTAGTATTTGGTTAATTAAATCTTTACTACAATATTTTTCTATTTTTAAGGACCAAAAACAAGATGAGTGAATTGTTTTGAAAATACTTCTGGTCACTTAATATACAAACTTCTTACTCTTTGGTTAAAGAAATTTCCATTTTTAAGCTTATCTGAACTGTGGACATGATAAATTAATGATTCATTGATCAAGAAGCTACTGTCTGAGGGCTCTAAAGTTTCTTTAATGATTAGATTTTCTTTAATTATTAAATTGCTTTAATTACTCAATTATCTCTCTTATGTAAGCATATTTAAAATTTATATCATGGTAATCAGTATTATTTTGAGCATATATAACTTGCCAGTATTACATATAAATTAGCTTGTTTTTATGATGTTAGATAAAACTAGTAATTTACATACATTAATTAGAATCTAGTATATGAAATGTTCCCTTTAAAACTGTTAAAATATTTTGGGGTTGTTGTTGTTATTTTGTACTTGGATAAATCTTTTTAGGCTTGTTTAGTAGGAAATAAAATTTAAGGCCTTTGCTTGCTTTCTACATGAGATAATAGAGGCCTACTAGTAAGGAGCTATGCTGCCAACCTGAAGGCAGAGCGTTCAAATCCACCAGCTGCTCTGCAGGAGACAGATCGGCAGTCTCCTTCTGTGCAGTTTACTGCCTCTGAAAACCTGCTGAAGGGTCAACTATGGGTCGGTTCTGACTTGACAGTTTATAACAACATCATGACATAAATTTATATTGGAATACTATCAGAATGCTAAAAACAAAATTTTTACACCAATAAGTTAGGATTAAAAATTTCCGACTGGTTTTATTATTATAGACCCTAGGGACTCTAGTAGCCTAGTGATAAGGAGCTGTGCTGTCAATCTAAAGGCGCATGGTTTGAATCCACCAGCTGCTCTTGGGAGGAAGATGAGCTGTCTTCTCCCATGCGGTTTACAGCCACTGAAAACCCTCTGGAGGATCAGCTATGGGTCACTTCTGACTTGATGGCACACAGCAACAAGTGACATAGAACATTTATTGGACTGCTAATGAAAAGGTTGGTGGTTTGAATCCACCAGCTGCTTCGCAGGTAAAGATGGGCATTCTCCACCTGCAAGATTTACATCCTTGGAACTTGGTTGAAGCTCATCATAAATTGGAACTGACTCCATGACAGGGGGTTTGGTTTTGGTTTGGCTTTATAATTAAGTGTAGATGGCACTAAAATCACTATGAACTTTTGATTGGAGGAAAAGTTTCTAAAGTTTGAAGTTTACTTTTGGAAAGGAACTTAAGGGCAGTCTTGGATGCCACTGAGTGTTTTTGCACACATGGGAACGCTGATGTTGTTCTTAATAGTCTTTTTGGTGCCTGTGTACTTTCTCTGGAAGCCCTAATACCATAATACTGCGTTAAACTTTGGACTGCTAACCAGATGTTGTCTGATTGGAGCCCATCAATGGCTTCTTGAAAGAACCTAGTGTCTTTGCAGCCTCAGGAACCTGTTGAGACAGTTGTGCTCTTACAGGAGCTTGTTTTGCTTTTTGGAGATGCATTCTCTGTGCTGGTTTTTTAAAGTTATCAGTTCCCATGGGTTATAAGATAAAATCCAACAAATGTTTATGTTTCTAAACAAACATAGGATAGGTAAAACAGACTTAGTGCCCCCAAAAGACAGTTCTTCAGATCTTCAAAAATCCTGTTGGAGTTGGAAATAGTAAAGTGTAATGTGTTGTTTAAAAGTTGCGTATGCAACCACAGAAAGTGGTGCTAAGTGGTAAAGTTAGGACCTTGACTGCTTGGCTTCCTGCTGTTGACTCACCCAGCAGTTCTGGAATCTGAAAAAGAAAATGTGTTAAGAATGGACGGAAAATGCTAAGAACGGCTTTTCAAGTGCTTGTTTTCTAGGCTTAGAAAGGACTTTAATACACTATATTTGAGAAACAAGGCTCTAGGAATTGACAGAATACCAATTGAGATGCTTAAACAAAGGGATAAAATTTAAAACTATAATTTAATGCTGTAAATTTGTGATTTTGCAGCACCTAAAGAGTAAACGTGGTATTTTTAATATCAATGAATTCTTTTTACTTTTGATTTTGTACTTTGTACATTAAATGTAGTCTATTATTTATATACTTAAAACTCCCCCTCATAAGGTAGATATCATGTTTATGAAATATAAAATTTTAGAAATATTTTCTCCTTTGGCTAGAATAATTATTAGAATGATATTCGTATTTTTTCTATATAAGCTATTTATACTTATTACAACTTCTTAGATCGAATGTATTAGTAACAATGGTTTTGTTTTGGGGGCCTATATGGAAGAATTGAGTTGTGGTGTTGGAGAAGAACACTGAACGGTCCATGGACTGCCAAAAGAACGAATAAATGTGTCTTGGAGAGGGTGCAGCTGAGTGCTCTTTGGAGGCAAGGATGATGAAATTTCACCTCACGTGCTTAACATACTAGCATGTTGGTAGGAGGGACTATTCTTTGGAGAAGGACATGATGCTGGGAAGGGTGGCAGAGGAGAGGAAGACCCTCGGCTAGGTGGATTGACACAGTGTCTGCTGCAATGGGCTCTAGTGTGTCTGGAAGTGTGAAGATGGCACAGGATAGAACAGGGTTCAGATCCACTGTTGATAGGGTTGTTCTGAGTCGTTCTCGAATCAGCAGCACCTAACAACAACATATGGAGGAAAATAGATTGTTTTAAAATAGTACTGTTCAAGCAGTGTACAAGAATTGATAGATGTGTAAACTATTTCCCAGTGACTCGCTGAGGAAACAGCGCTTTGTCCACTTTGAAGCCTTTTTAAAGGCACTTACTGACTTGGGACCAGAGGTACCAACTTAGCTAAATGTTTAATTATTTTCTCCTTTCTAATATTTTCTAAGCCAGTATGTAGGAAGAAGAAACTACAATAAAAAACATAGAATTATAAAATCATAAGTGGAAATGGGTCAAGAGGTCATCTGATCTGTCTTTTCTGGTCTTTAGGTTCTGTTCTCTACAAGACAGAGAATTTGTAAAGTCCAAGTTACATATATTTTACTGAGAGTATTGATCGCTAGTAAGTTCTGTACAAAAAAAATAACCATGTCATTCTGCATATATTTTAATATTAAAAGCATCAAGAACTACCAGGATGATATTAGCGGGAAATTTCTTTTCGGCTGTTAGTAATAATAGTCTGTCTGTTAATTCTGTTTCTAATTTTTATTGCCTCTGTGTTGATTAAGGAAGATTCTAGAGAAAATAGCTGTTAAGATATTAGGTAGGTAGCTTTATATTAATTGTACTGTAGGATATTGTATTGCACTGGTTGTCAGGAAGCCTACACTTTTGTTTTGCTTCCTTTTTATCTTGAGTTAAGACTTCACCTTTCCACTTCTATTTATGAATAATCTAATGCTATTTTCAGGAGCCCTGGTGGTGCAGTGGTTAAATGTTCAGCTTTTAACTAGGAAATCGTTAGTTCAAACCCACTGCTTCTCTATATCTGGGAGCATGTTGTGGGGAGGGTCAAGTTCTTGGAAAAGGATGTCATGCTTGGAAAGGTGGAGGGTCAGCGTTAAGAGAGGAAGACCTTAGGGAGATGGATTGACATACTGACCGCAACGATAGGGTTAAGTATATTAGAGCTGGTGAGGCTAGCATAGGATGGGGCAGGTTTCAGGTCTGTCAGGGTCGCCGTGAGTCATACTTGACTTGAAGGAACATAACAGCAAGCTGCTTCATGGGAGGATTATGTGACTGTCTGTTTTCCTCTGTGGTCATTCAGG